AATCCCGCATATTCGATGGTACCTCGACGTCACTTGATTTGGTGTCGACAGGAGAAGACAATACCGGTTGAAGGTCTGTTACGTGTTCTTCCAGCATGGGGACAACAACCGCGAGAGCATCCTGGACCGAGCAAGGATCCGTTCGGAGAATGTTGGTAACGCCCTCGTCTTCCGTATTCCACAGGAACATCCTCCCTTCGCCTTGGAGCAGAAGAGATCGCATGAAAGTGATTGGGCCTGCGTCAGTGCCCTCATATCCAGAGATGATCAAGTGGAAGCTCCCCTTGCCCACACGGGCAAGGTCAAGCATGCTGGCGTTCTGGTCGAGTTTCACGTGCTCGACCTTTAGCACAGAGTATAGGAATGCGATAGCTCGTCCAACTGGCGAATCAGCATGCGTCAGCAGGATGCGCATGGACTGCAATCGCTGCAGACGTCGGAAGGTGGATAGTCCGGGAGCGAGAACCGCGGAGAGGAATCCCAGGAGGCAGGCGGGACCAGCGGCTGCCAAGCTGTGCACCTCGGGGGACACATGCGATACCAGGTCCGCGTGGATGATGGATGGCTGTACAGGGACGCCGTCGAGGACGCCCACCACGCATGTGCCCGCTGGTAGCATAGGCGACTGCGTCCCGTTGACAATGCCGAGGATTGCCGCACAACTATTGAACGTCCACGAAGAACATACGTCCACTAGCACCTTGTCTAGAGGGACACTTCCAGGGATGCTTTTCTGCTCCGAAACTGGATCTGGAACAATGGGTGGTATCGGGACTAACCGAGGGACGAGAAATGTGCCCTCTGGAGAAACCAGTATCTCCGGCTCTTGACGCATTATGGCTGGTATTTTCACAAGATACTCATTCCTCTGTTGCTCGGAGAATGAGGGTGGGAAGACGACAAGCCGTATGGTCCAAGTGATGTACTCGCGTCGGAGAGCACGTAGGAGACCTGATGCGCGTCCGCTGTCGCGGCCTGCCAAGATCCATACGTCCAGCTCTTCGGACGAGTCCAAGTTCCTGAAATACTGTTGAAGAGTCATCTCCTGGCCGTGGCTGTAAGCGAAGATGAGTGCATCGCGGGCGAACAGCATGGTGTCGGTGGTGGAGCGATAGTCGATACGTTGACTAACAATTGTCGCAGCGGACGGAGGGTCAGAATTGCCCTGCTTGCTGCCGAGGACGGCCATGCCCAGTTGCTCGTATGGCCCTCGAATGGATTCCTCGACCTGGTATCCACAAGATGCGTGCAGCTGTGCTGTCACAACAGAAATCCCTCCCGGCACCACGCAGCTACTGCAGCGCAATAAAATGGAGCGGAATCTATCCTCGTCGGATGATCGATCGAAGACCACGAGGATGTCGTAATATGGATGTTCCGGGAGGTCTTCGCCCGTAAGCACCTTATCCAGGTCTGCAGTTCGAACCACACCAGACTGCACGCGTGACGCATACAGCTCCCGTTGCTCTTCGTTACCGACGAATATCTCGAAGAACAATGCAGGAAATTCGTTGAGGACAGTGATCAGGTATGACACGAGTTCGCGTTCTGCGGCAGCATTCAGCACAAGCTCGGATGTGACATATAGAATTACTCGTCACCCTTTGTAGCGATTGCTACTCGCACTACGCATTGAGAGGCATCTCGAGCAAAAGCTGTAACGGCACGTTGCAGAGCCGCCCCCTGTTGGAGTGCAGCTGATCTCAGAGCCGACGCCAGCAAACGAGAATCAGCCTTATTGCAAATCAGCGATCAAGCACTGATGGACAGGTTGGCCAGCTCACATTAACGTCAATTGCATCCCATTTTATTTGCAGCTGATCATCGCACGACAGAGAAGCAGACGCTGGTCGCTGTGAGGGCAAGGACGCAGGCTGATAGATCAGGTGTAAAGGCCGCTGCACGGTAGGTATTGGATCGATATGATGTTTAGCCATTATAAGCGATTGCAGGGAGCAGATACGCTGTCCGTAATCATCCACGAGCGCAATGTCGTAACATATCTGTTCTATTAATGATATCCTGATGAGCTTTTGTCCTTCATATATGAATAAGACGGTACTACCTGGCCACCATTCTTTGAAGACGACATGCGCATAGAGATGATGCGG